CACAAGTATCAATGGCATCAGCACAACAGCGAAATGAGAGCAATGCCAATCGTTTAAGGCGACAACCTGAAAGGTTCAAAGTTGGTGACAAGGTCTGGTTAGACCTACGTAATGTCAAGACACCTCAACTTTCAAAGAAGCTTGCGTGGCTTCACGCTAAGTACGAAGTTACAGCAGTTCCAGATGCGCTTACGGTAGAACTAAATGTTCCGGGGAATATTCACAAACGCTTTCATGTTGAGCTCATAAAGCGGGCGGGAGATGACCCCTTCCCAAGTCAGACACGAGATGATCCCCAAAACCCACCTATAATTGACAACTTAGGGGAGCAGGAGTACGAAGTCGAAGAAATCCTGAGGGCTCGAAACATACGACGCGGACGAGGTAGCTACCGTCAAGCATTAGTCAAGTGGACTGGCTGGGCTGATCCTTCTTGGGAGCCTGTTGAGTATATTAAGGATACAATGGCACTAGAAAGATTTGAAGAACTTTACGGTCCGATAGACGCAAATGATGGTCCCAGTGATACAGAGTCTGGAGCTTACGTAGGTCCTCCTGAAAAGAAAACCCTTGAATCTCGCCGACGAAGACGGCGTGTCAAGTAGTGAAAAGTAAGGAGGGGGGTTGTAACGGCTGGTAAGCCGATTGGTTCCTGTAGCGCATGTTGGCCAACATGAGCCTAGCCTGATATTGGTAGCGCACGATTGATCGACATCAATGTGTGGATATATGATGCCACTCAACAGAATATCAAGGCATCGGCATCTAGTTCGGCAGGGCAGCAGTATTGGACCATACAGCTACAACACATGTAAAGAATCCCATTGGAACCGAGAGGGAGGGACTGTGCCTCAACCACATAGACAATGTATATATAAGTATAGATAGAGACTGAAGTAGTTTTCTCTTCAGAATGATAATTTACATACTCTCAACCACATAGTTGCACCAGCGCCTGTTCCTTGATCCGTGACATTTGCTGATAGATGCCAATATGCCACCTTGTTACTGGCCGTGGGCAATCCAACATGCATGCTTTCTAGTCAATAGGTTATATTGCTTAAGAACGAAAATGGTCCCAATTATTGATTTCCTAAAAGGACTTGATCAACCCTATCCAGAGAAAATTAATTTTACTAATTTGCCTCGATTCGGCTGTCGAGCTTACAAGCTGATTAACCCAAAACCTGGTAAGTTTGACACAAGAGCAGAAAAAGGGTTGTTTATGGGCTTCCAGCCGAATAGTAGCAAAAATTATGTTATATTTCATCCTCACCAAACTCCAGTCAAAGGGTGGAAATGGATTGAAAGCATTACACCTCATGCAACCTTCAATGAAGATGTAGTATTTGGAGAAAGGCTGCCATCGGTAGATCAGCAAAGAAATAGCAGCTACTGGAACAGCAAACACTCAATACTTACAAACCTCTCCCGCAATGGTGAGGAGCAGGGCAATGATAACGTCAGCATGAACCAGCCCCTATATCAAACTCAAGACGTTCATCTAACAAATCAAGGGGATCAAACAATAATTGAGCCGGAAACCCCCATAACAAATCAAGCGCCAGAAGTGACACATGTACCAACAGAAACATGGGAACACATCAATACAAGCCCAAATTCAACATCAAAGGATGATGAACAATCCCAATCTGGATCAGAATCTCAACCTCTAGATCAGATTTCTGACAGAGAATCAAGTCCAGTTCAGCTGAGTGACTCAGAATTGATCCAGGGGGAGATTAATGAAGAGGAATCTGATCAAAATCAAGAACAACCAAGAGATCAAGCACTGGTTCAGGGGGAGTCAAGTTTAGAAGTGACCCCTGAGGAAAAATATGACTTCGTAATGACAGGTTGGGATCCAGCTCCGATAGCCGGACAGAAACAACTGCACTCTCCTGAAAGGAATGAGGAAGTAAGTGTGGAGCACCACGGCAATATGATACGCACAAAGCGTGGAAGACTAGTTAAAAAGGTCGACTATCACAAGCTCCACCATGGAATGGCAGCTCAAATAGCCAGAGATCCCACAACATGGGAGGAAGCCATGAATTGCCCCGAAGCCCATCAATGGAAGAAGGCTGCTCAAGAAGAATTTCGCTCTCTTAAAGAAACGGGAACCATCAAAATCATTCATCGAAGCAAATTGCCAGACGGCCGTACACCTTTAAAATGTAAGTGGGTTTTCAAGAAGAAATTCCTTGCAGACGGTAGCTTAGATAAATGGAAAGCACGGTGTACCGCAAAAGGGTTCACGCAGCGGCCGAGAGTTGATTATCATGAAACATTCGCACCAACCCCAAGACCAGAGACAGGGAGAATAATGCTCGTATTGGCTCATCAATTTGGTTGGCATAGACGCCAAGGAGATGTTCCGACAGCATTCCTAAACCCTGACTTGACCATAGAATTGTTCATGGAAATGCCCAAAGGATTTGAAAAAGGACATATCCTGCATCTTTGCAAAGGCTTATATGGACTTAAACAAGCAGCTGCCTTATGGTATGATGATGTAAAGTCTACATTGGCAAACTTGGGCCTATATCCGACGCATTCAGATGTGTGCCTCTACGCCAATAATAAAAAGGATCTGTTTGTACTTTTACATGTTGATGACTTCCAGATAATGGGACCGAGTCTTGCCAAAATAAATTACATCATGCAGGCTCTACACAAGAAGTACAAGCTCAAGACTGTTGAGACAAGTAGATTCCTCGGCATAAACATCAAACAGGTTGACAAGAATACGCTTGAGCTCTCTCAAGGTCAATATAGTCGCAAGCTACTCGAAAGACATGGACTAGCAGAATGTAAATCTGCAGCCTCACCAATGGAACGACTCATGGAACCAAATGAATCACAAAGCTCGGCACAATTGAGAACAGAATATAACTCAATTGTTGGAGGTCTCCAATATCTGGCCAACAACACGCGACCTGACATAGCATTTGCAGTGAATCATCTTGCAAGGTTCCTGGTCAACCCGTCTTTCGAACATTTTCATGCAGCACGTAGGATTCTTCGATACATTGCACAAAAACTTGATAAGGGCATTGTTTTCACCAAAGGAAGCGGAAAACCAACCCTCGAAGCGTACTCAGATGCGGACTTTGCGGCTAATCCATCTACTAGTAGATCAACGTCCGGCTCTCTCATCAGGTTAGTATCTGGACCAATATGTTGGAAATCACACATGCAGCGAGAGGTAGTTCTTTCCACCACCGAGGCCGAGTATCTTGCCGCCACAGAGACATGTCGTCAACTTCAATGGGTAAAGTCACTATTTGAGGAATTAAGAATCACAAATTTGATTAAGGGAGCTGAACGTACGGTTCTGCACGTGGATAATCAATCAGCTATCTCGCTGATCAAAAATCATGATAACCATAAGCGCTCCAAGCATATAGCGCTCAGGAATTGCTATTGCCGAGAACAATATCAGGCAGGAAAGATTACCGTAGCATATGTCAAATCCGCAGACCAACTTGCCAATAGCTTAACAAAAGTCAAGTCCCCAGTTCAGATCAATTAAGATCCCATAACATAACGGTCATTACCAACAGGGGGAGTGTTGTGATATACAATATGGATGGGCGTGTGTAAGCAATGAGACATTACGTGAACTAAACCAAGTGTGGCTAGCAAGGCACGGCGAGGGATTAGCCGAGGCTCGTGCGTATGGTCTTAGGAACACTTCTTTTGTAAAGATAGATCAGGCCGCTTCATCCCTTTTACATACACATAGATGTACATATAGATTCTAATTAATTCAATCTCCACACCTTGCTCTACCCTCAGCTCCGCAGACTATTAAGCTCCAAACTCCAAGACGTCGTACATAACCTCATAACCATAACACGGAGAGTCTGAGTTGACAGGTCATAGAGAGAACCTTATCGAGGAGGGGTATTTCAGTCTGTATATATAGGTAGTCATTAAGTACAGAAATTCTCTCTTCAGAGAATTATAATTAAAATATTGTACCTACAACATTGCTCATGCATTTTGTAATGAAACCGTGACAATAACCTATATTTAGTGTTCTGTGATTCTGGTGTGACCTTTTGGCCGAGCAGTTATGCACCTATCCCATGCATGATGTAGGATGGTACCCTTTAGTCTGAATACCATCTCTGATATCCGTGTCTCCTCCCAGCTGTCTACATGTTGCTCCAAACTCTCCGGCAAACTTGAAAGGGAGTTCAAACGTGGCGCTGTAGAGGACACAATAGAGAAAAGCCGTCATTAGTAGATCAGATTCTCGAGCAAAATTTATCCTTCCTTTTGAGTTAACGTCTTTCAAACACTTCTGAATTCATTAAACTCTTTACAGTGACCACGCCATCCTTTCCCTGCTCTTGCGTGCTGAAAAGTGATGATTGTGGTTTTGAGTTCGACCCTGAAAGCGCAAATTTTTACGTAGATGGTATTGTGAGGTTATAAATTGTAGAGGAATGCTGGAATGGTATAGGGAGGTGAAGGATATATGCCGAACAACGAAGCAGTTGAATAGAGCTTAAGGGTGAAGCTTGGTAGGGTGACACGAAGAGGGTATGAATAGACCTTCAGAGATATTCAGTAAATGTAATGAACTGAGGATTTGTGAAGGAGAAGAACACTACATATATATATACAGGAATCAGTCCTACTGAGACGAATTTAGAAATAAGCCAAGATATGCACCCATGTCCCAGTATGGCGACGTTATCATGGTGAAGGTATGTCTTGACCACCAGTAGACCCCCAAGCTAGCTGAGTGTAAGACAGAATCATGCATATACCATAATTTCCAACATATCTTGTGTTAAGCGCCAAGACTAATTAATATTACAGAAAATAGATGTGGCGCAGTATTAGATGATACAAATATCGGAAACGAAAACGAGATTGTACATGACTAGTGTAACTGTAATGGATATGTTACATATTCCACGTGACTAACTATTACGTAACACAAGTATATATACATAGTTAGAACACTTGATGTAAACTTCACGCTTCTGCACTATAGGTTTTGGCCCTATATAACTTCCGCTGCACTACGTCACTTTAATTCAAGACATCCTTCTCTTGTGCTTCCATCTTTGCCCTACCTTTCTCACGTACGCACAGCAACTCACGCACTCGAAATGTCAGAATTACTAAAGCCCTCTATTGAGGCAAAGCATATATCTAATGATACTATTGTACCTGATTATGTGCAAATAAATAACATCATATTTGCTACATCAGATGATGTCAAAACCTCCTTAAAGGAAGCGCACAGAAAGACAGAAGTCTGGACACTGGCAGAACGACTCGGTAACATTGAGAAAATATGTACCATTCCGAAATTAACCTCATCAAACTGGAACTCCTACTTTGAATCAATAAAACGGCTAATTTCTGTCACAGAAACAGCCTGCGTTTTCCTTCCTGTTACACAATCTACTAAGGCAGTCATAATATGGTCTGCGTGGTGGGCTGCTAAATTAAAATAATCAATTTCACACATCAAGATAAATGACAATAAAACTCCTCTCTTTGTTTTAACCACCATCGTCAGTCAAACACAGGCGGCGATGCGCTCAAATTTAATTGTAATCATTAATAGATTTTGGACTTTTTAGCTCAGCAACAACATGTCACTATCGAAGTTTTTGGTAGAACATGAAAGACGTCTTAATGAGTTCAAGCAAAATAACACAATTACACCGGAATTAAAACGTCAAATGAAGTACTTACTATTAAGTAGTATACAAAAATTGGACTCTAACCTTGCAATTCGATGTCGAAACTGTTCGTTTGAAGAGCTTCTTGCTGAATGTTATCAATACAAGTCTAGTAACAAACCAAAATCACTTAAAAATAAAACAGGAAAGTGTAATTTCTGTGGAAATGTTGGACACATTGAAGACGAGTGTAGGAAGAAAAAGAATGCGTCTAAAGATCGTAATAAAAATGGAAATAATAAAGTCCTTTCTGTCGCAAATGCATCATGTAATTATTCATACCAGTTGGATACTGGATCAGACTATCATGTTTCTGGAAATAAAGATGACTTCTCTTCTTATTCTACTTCTCCCATAAATGTTCAAGTCGCAGGTGGTGATCAAGTTAGAGCTGTCGGTCATGGCAATCTAAATTTTCTATCTATTAATGATCAAAAAGATGAACTTCATGGAGCTATTCGTATCCCAGGCCAGAATCAGTGTATTCTCTCCACTGCACAATTGGAAAAACAAGGCTTCTCCATTCGTTGGCCATCAAACTACGGTGATATTGAGCTTATCCGTCCCAATGGCTCTGTATGTGCAATATTACAGCGCATATCTGGCAGATTATTGTACATGCCCATTAAATCTAGTACTGGAAAATCATTAGTGTATTTAGTCACTCGTGACTGGCATACTATCCTTGGTCATCCAGGACAGCATGCCCAAAATATCATGTTAAAAGATGCAGGAATAAAGAACCTTAAGACCCATCCTGATTGCGAAACATGTATTAAAGCTAAAATTACGAAATGCAAAGGTCATGGTAGTCTTCGAAATGCAACATCATTTGGTGATATTATACACATGAATCTAGTTGGTGGCCAAAAGTCTCTTTTCCCAACAACCATTGATAAATCTGTCCCAAATCCGACATGGTTTTTGCTTGCAGTCAACGAGTTCACATCTTGGAAATGGGCTTGGCCGATTTACTCTAAGAAAACTGTCCCTACTCAAATTCGGTATTTGCTCGAGAATTTAAAGACTAAATTTCAAATAAAACCTAAAGTTATTCATACTGATAGTGGTACAGAATTCTCAAATTCTAATCTTCAAGAAATACTTCTTTCCCGTGGAATAGAATGGAAGAAATCTTCCTCACATGCTCCAGAGCAAAATGGTATTGTCGAAAGAAATGTCAGAACAGTTACCGAGAAAATGCGAACACTTCATCTACAATCTGGATTACCATTAAAACTATGGCCTCTAATGCTGACAACTTCAATTGACTCTCTCAATATAACTCCCAACAGTATTGCACCTAAATCACCGTATCACGCTGTTTATAACAAATTGCCCGTCATCCAACATCTTCATCCATTCGGTTGTCGAGCATTCTGGCTTGATCCTGATCAAAATAAACTAATTTCCAAGGCAAGGGAAGGAATTTATGTTGGTCATGAATTTACAGGAGGTCATATTATTTTAAACACAGAAACCCATCGAACAATAGTACGACGTGACGTTCGTTTCCATGACAAGTCTTTTCCTTTAAAATCAAATATTCTAGCAATACATAATACAGATCGTCAAATCATTAACAAATTACTAACAGGAAATAGAGGTCATCAATGGGATAAAGCCATGGATGATGAGATCAAAAATATGGCACAAAACGAGGTTTGGGCGCTTGTACCTAAATCTGAAGCAAAAGGTAAAATAATGAGTGGGAAATAGATATTGAAAGAAAAACCAGACAGACAATTAAAAGCAAGATGGTGCGCTCGTGGTTTTTCAGAACCATATGCTGACGATACCTATGCCGAAGTCCTTCCTCCAACTACATTGCGGATGCTTCTAGCTTATGCAGCAACTTACAAGCTCATCATCCGTCATGTCGACATTACAGCAGCATTTCTCCACACACCAATTGATCAGCCTATTTTTATTGAACAGCCTCACAATTGAGAACAACCAGGAGACTTAGTTTGCAAGCTTAAAAAGGCTATTTATGGCTTACGAACAGCACCAAAACGATGGCAATTAAAACTTCGACAAGTTTTAAGTGACCTAGAATTCAAACCACTTAAAAATGATACAAATGTATTTCGTCGAGGGAAAACAATAATCTCAACCTATGTTGATGATTTTATGATACTATCTACATCCCTTGCTCATTTGATAAAACAGTCATTGCGTTGGCTAAAATTTTTAAACTTAAAGATCTAGGTCATATGACAAACTTTCTCGGTATTAATGTAAAGAATGAGCCAGATGGTATTCGTATCAATCAACAAGATAAAATCGAAGCTCTTTGTAGCGATATGGGAATGGCTCAGTGTAGAGGAGCTAACACTCCAATTTCTGACGAAAATCTAATTGATCGTGATACAGATAATTTATGTTCAAATCCTGAATCAGTATTATATCGTTCAGCTATCGGGACGCTTTTACACATCGCAAATACAACAAGTCCTGATATCCAATACGCAGTCAACAAGCTTTGTCACTATGTACGAAATCCCTCGCAAAATGCCTTTCTATTACTAAAACATCTCATTCGATATGTCTCTCGAACAAAAGATGCTACTCTATTCTTCCCCAAATGTAACAAACGTGAACTCACAGCATCATCAGATAGCAGTTGGGGAAATTCCACTTCTCCAAAAGGAACCTCGGGGATATTTTTCTTTATTAATGGGACTCCGATTTCATGGTGGTCTAAGAAACAATCTGTCACTGCCCAAAGTACTTGTGAAGCAGAATATACCGCTCTCACAACCCTATCTGTTGCTGCGCAGTGGATTAAGCCTTTGTATGAAGAACTATTCGAAACAAAAATTTCACCCATTACAACAGAAATTGATAACACTGCCGCAATGATTACCGCTAACTCCAACAAAATATCTGCAAGGAATCGACATTTTCTAATGCGACAATCAACAGTTACTGATTCGATTCAAAGTGGGTTGATAAAATTAAAATATACCCTTCCAGACATTTGCAAAGCAGATAGCTTGACAAAATCATTGCAACGTCTAAAACATTCATCATTCTGTAATCAAAATAATTTACATCTAAAGCATTCAGTTTCTGGGGGGGTGTAATGGATATGTAACATATTCCACGTGACTAACTATTACGTAACACAAGTATATATACATAGTTAGAACACTTAATGTAAACTTCATGCTTCTGCACTACAGTAACAGATGCAGGACTGTTAGAATTACAACAGATGGGGCTGTGGCCATGGGATATTTTCGCGGCCGCCCTGGCCCTCTCTTTCCGACCTCTGCTTTCTGGTTGGACACCAGTGTAAACCCTTGGTTGTCTACCTATTTTGCCGCGGTTGATGTTGTAGTGGCTGCTGGTGTTAATTACTCTCTCCTTAGATCCGCCGTTCTTTCCAGAAGGCCATAGCGTGCCCTCTGGAAACTTGCCTTGTAGGGCTTAAAGTTTGGACACGCCCCCTTCTGCCACGATTTATGGGCTTTACCGCAGTTGCATCAAAGCACCGACTTCCTCGGGTAGTCTCTGGTCTAGTGAGTGCCCGCACACTCACCACATCTTTTCGCCCTATTGCACGAGGCTTGAGTATGCCCACATTGACTGCAGTTAAAGCACCGCTTGACTTGTGCCCAGGGTTACCAAAGCTGGGCCGTGTACAGCATTGAATTGAGTACAATGCCGTTTCAAATCACCTCACATTGAAGAGCCTCGGTCGGAAGCGTTGTGATAACTGACTTTTGATAACGGTCTTTTTTCTTCATTCATTGGTGCTCTTTGCCGTCGTTAAGCCACTTCACCCTATTGATTTGGATTCCAGGAATCCGGACTTTTGTCTCCGTTGTAATCTTAAATATTGCCACGCTATTGTTTGTGTTCTTTCCTCCGTGTATAATTGTCCCCAATGGAACTCCCAAATTTCAACAGGATAATCCTGCTTTAAGACGCATAACTCCTTTGGTTGTGCCATGTTCAGGACAGCGTCTCGCTGGAAGACCGACTGCACAAACACCTCAGTGTCATTACTCTGCAACTGCCTTACGGCGTTTGCTCCCTCGACAGTATTTTTGCCTTATTTAGCGACTCTGCCGGCTACATTTTGTCTGCCCCTTGTCTTCGTATTCTTACTACCGCTTTAGTTGCGGAAGGTGTGTTGTGAATACCTCGGGTCAGCTCCGATCGAGCCTCATCGGGCTCCCACCATCGCGGCACTCGCACACTCGGCCGCAGTAAGCTAGATGAGATTAGGGCACTGACAGCACAACTAAGTACCTAATCACTCTGGCAACATCCCTACATCCGAGCGTTGCCTGGTGGACCAATGCGTTGAGACTGAGGCGCACATCACTCTGATGGCTACCGAGGGGCAACAGCATATAATGTGACGACGGTGTGTAGCTCTGCAATCCCGGGAGTTCCACACTAGCAACCAGTGTCAATAGTATGTTATGACAGGAGATATTGGCAGGGGCTATGGAAGTGGTTACTGTGACAGAAGTAGGAAGCACCTGTGGTGAGTGCGTGATCAGGACTGGGATACTAAATGTATATACAACGAAGCAACACTTCCGTAGATAGATTCAAATTCAACCATCTCACTACTGTCCATTCCAACGCTTCTTCTCACTACAGCCATATCAATTATATCCGCGCATCCATAATAATTTGCATCCATTTCAGGTCTTCCTCTGTCCCCTCATGACCTCGTTATTATAACAAGGTGCGACAACCGAGGCGTAAGTTGGTCGCCCTCCCACAGCCTGTGTCGAATGAGGAGCCATCTTTCGCACTGGCTCCTCGAGACTCTTCGTTACTGCCTTCTCTAAGGCCAGCATCCTTTCTTCCATTGATGTCGCTTTCATTGTCGATGTAAGTGACAATACGTGCGACTTGAGAGCGTCAATAGCTCCATTTACCTCCATCGGTGTTGCAGTTGGGTTAGTACCTGCTATAACCAGTCTGTCGCGAACCTTGTTTAAATAAAACCCTATTGATTTCAGGTTATCCATGTTAACGCCTGTAGATGTTGCGAGAGAATCTACAGCCATAATTGCGGCTGTTCCGCTACACATCGGCATTTTGGGTGGTGCCGTGAAATCCACCTCTCTGACTCCCTAACCTGCCATGCCAAAGCGCAGCGCAAAAAATTCGGGGAGCGAGATAAGATGGGCCTGTTAAGATGGTATCAATAATTAAAACGATGGTATAACGTTCGTGGAACGTGGTGCCGCTTTTGACCAAAAGATGATCTAGGGTATTGTTTAGTTACCAACAGTAATCCTTTTCTTGTGACTTGGGGTGAAGAAAAAGCTATTACAACTTCGCTGTGGTACTTGCAAATGATATCCAAGCCGGGAAAGACAAATCCTTCACCTTCCAGTGGCGCCGGTGTACTCGCTCAGTATGCTCTGTATATCTGGGGTAGCCAAGAAGAATCGCATCCGAACCGAAGTCGAATGCAACCTCAAGCTCATATAAAATCGACGACTTCTCAACAAATGTTTGATCTATCATTCCAACGCGAGTCCTCTACCTCAATCTTACTACATCACTTCGCCTCAAATACTGATAATGGCATTACTCCAATTGCAATCGGGCATCTGCCTCATCAAAAATCTGCCATTTCTCACTACAAAATTATGATGCTATGTATACCCGCGAGGAGGGATTCAAGTCACAATCTACAAAGCTCGGGTCTTGGTCTATGGGGGACCGTTGCTCTAATGGGGCTTCACATCTTGAGTGAGGACAGGCAGCTCAGACGTGGGACGAACGAGTGAGGTCACAAATTGGCATGCTGGGCCTCCCATTTTTCGAGTAGTCTCGACTTAAGGGTGTCTATGGGTGCAGAAGCAACGATTTTGGATAGTGCTACCGACACTCTAAAAACAGGCTATAATGGAAAGTGTTTTGGTCCGCCTCCTGGTCGTCATCTCCCCGAATTAAGGCCTGGGTAGCCTTGACACCTACCTCACTCGTGAAAGGGAGGACTGTGAGGCCATATACAAGATTGCAAAGGCATGTTAGGATGGCCAAAGGTTTTCCTGTTTTTCCTCCGGTGGATATTCACGGCTGGGGGAAGGGTGAAAGTCCCAAGCACAAAGGACCCGATTAGTATCAGCGAATGCACCCTCGAAGTGAGTGGCAAAATTTTCTAACTGAGTTATCTTCGTATATAGTTGTCTGGGAAGAACTAGTCTTCTCCATACCATCCTCTGTGAGCACTAGGCTTGTGCCCGTCACAAATATCCATTCCTCCCTTAATGTGCCGTACTTTGATTTCCGGCAATTAAATGGACCTCGTATGAATCCTATGAATGTATGGACTCTTCTAGGTAGACCGAAGGTGACCTAGTGAAAACGCCCGTTTCTTTGTAATTTATTAGGGCAGTATGACATCACCTTGAAAGATCTAGGCCTCTTGATAAATGTTGGGTCTGTGGACGCCAGGATTCAGTTGGTTTTTATATAACGTCTTGCCAGTTTACTATACAATTGCAAATATCGTGTTTGCCACCTTATTTTATTTACCTGACGTGCCAGCGCATTTTTCCCCAAATCCGGCATATAATTCTTGGCCTAAGGCCACCCTACCGCGCGCCCCAAATAATCAAAAGACGTCAAAATTGCTCTTTCACTGAGTCTTCTGATTTAAAGAAATTTACAGAAGATATGTATATATGTCTACGGGAAAATTAATCTATCAACTGCATCAATAGCGTACTAATATGGCCTGTCAGGTATTAGCCGAATAGAGTACAGGTTAGTGTCGACGTTGAATTTCTTCGAAGAATCTGGTATCATGAAACCATTTACTAAAGACGTTTGTTGTTTTAGGAGAATCTATACGGAATTCCAAGTGTCGGAGGTTTCATTTCGCTGCCGTGGCAGACCCAGGTATGAGCGAGCCGGCAAAAGAAGAAGTGATCAGGAGACTTCTCCTGCCTAAGGACGCCAGCGTGCCAAGCAGCTATCTCCTGGGCTCAGCTAACCGTCACGTGGTAGGTTGTAGCGTGTGCTGCGCGCAGACGTCACCGTAGGTAACATAAAAAGTTTGTCAGTTTCTGTGGAAGGATATCATTCCGCGAGCACACTGAAAATTTTTGAGAATCAGATGCATCAGCACTTAGTATTTATTTCTAGGTTACAATATTTTCGGGGTAGTTTTTGATCAATATGTTGAACTCCTTCTTTGATGAAAGTGAATGTTTTTGCCAATGACACGTAGAAATTCAAGCTTAATGTAGTAAAGTCTGTTAGATTAAAGGTGCTTAATCTTACGTACTAATAATGAAGACCGCAAAAGATATAAAAATTTCCTAATGTCTCAATGTTGTTGGTTCCCTTGTTGTATCATTGAATCATAATTTTAAGTTTATACATGTACCGCACAGGACTGTGCACTTTTAGGTGCCCGTGTTTTCGGTTGCATCCCAAAAATTAAACGGCGCAATAAGTTATCCTATCTTATTTCCTTGATCCTGTTTGAAGCGTTTCGAAGAGGTTTGTAGTTTGACTCTAGTCCAGGCCTTTTTCATTATCTAATTCAGCTTTAAGAGGGTTTACGCTCATAGAAGAGTCAGCTGCGATCATTTCAGCGAGAATATCTAGGATTGCTTTCGGAACTGTATATAGTTAGTTTCGGTCTATTTTCAACTGTGAATAATGGAAGAAAATGACGGGATAGTTTCATAATAACATACCCGTTTTGTCGTATATCGATATTAGATCAGGAGGCGATGGATATACTTTCAAAGCCTTGTAAAAACAAAGGGCTGCCTCTTGGCTGGCAGAACCTGATATGTTCAGCATTCTGCTACATGGGGTCATATAATTTTTTACCGTCAGAGCTAAGTCCTTCTCCTTTCGCAATCTCTTGCATAAAGTAACCTTCTCTTTCTTCAACGTCGGTAGGAAAGCCCTCTAGCTTTGCTTCTTCAACGGCGACCCTGATAGCCTTCCTTTGCTGGGCTACTTGTATTTCTGCTAATTCTTTGGCCGCTTTTGCTTGCTTTTTGAGGTCCTTTTTTAACTGTTTGCGGAATTGAGGGTCGTTCCGACGTCGATAGTCAAAGTATACAACATACGCTTTAATCTCAATTTAGCCTGGATTTCTCATGGGTAAATGGCATACCAATAAGACAAGTGGCGATCGTGCCAAAGGTAGTTGTAAACGCAAAATTTGAAGGGCCCATTTTACGGTGGATGCTGACGATGAGTTAGTCTTGAGATATAAGTAAAGTTAGACATAGTTTTTTCACGTTTGTTACAACTATCTGCTGACGTAAGAAAACCCATGAACAGGTATCACTGTGTGGCTACATATTGATACCCACGCAACCAAAATCAGCCCAACTCACAATTTCTATAATGTCTGAAGATAAGATCAAGGGAATATCTCTCCGCACAAAAGGGAAAACGCGCCTCACAATAAGTGCGCCTAGGCAGATATCAGAACCACTACCAGTTGGTGCAGCTCTCAGGTCTGCCAACAATCCTTCATTCCAACCTTCGTCTCAGCGACTTCAAGTTGGTGGAAAAGTAAACTTTCAGAACCGAATTTTCTTGTATTTTTGCATATCTAACTAACAATTTAGACGTCAGATCTTGTAAAACGACGATACTCAACACGATTTAATAACATACCAGCAGATTATGACCCAACTCGTCCTCCTTTACCCTCTGTCCCACCGATACCAGGTCGATTCAGTCCTAATGACCGTGGGCGAAAGTTGAATGATGAATCAAGAGGAAGATTAAATATCGATGTCGCAGCATTACGAGATCCAAATCTACGACCGGATCAGTATATATCGGGTCTGTTGGTTGATGCTTCAGAGCAAGATATTGATAGTTATCAAAATTCTTTACGAGACTTGAAAAAAAAAGCTGCTACTGATCTACAGCAGAATCTATATCAAAACAGAACACAGTTCATTAAAATTAGCAAGGAAGCAGATAAACTGAAGGGAGAAATGCGAGCACTCAAAAACTTGATGTCTGAATTGAAAACCAATACAACTGCATTAAGGGCTGCCACAGTTCACGCCTCTTACGGTGCTGAACTCGATGGATTTCCGACCCAAATGAGCAAACGTAACAAGCGAAGCTCAGTAGCTGACAGATCAGTACTGTGGAATTCACAGTTACAAGCTGTATGGAAGATGATCGAAGGCTCTCAGAAGTTTCTTCCCGCGATTCCTGGACGTCATCCAATCCTCGACGCAGGGCTATGGATTGAACTTGACAATGCGACCTGGAAACCACGGCGCATGGTCCAAATTGTCTTACTAAACGATAATCTACTTGTTGCCGCTAGAAAAAAGCGAAGAGTTGAAGGAAATGGATCAGACCAACGTCAAGCAGTAACTAAAATTGTTGCAGAACGCTGTTGGCCTCTGCTAGATATTGAGATAGTAGATCTTGCTGGAACTGCTGAAGCCTCAGGCGGAGCAAATAAACTATCTGATGCGATAATGATTCGAGGCGTTGGAAGTGAAACATATACTTACCGAACAGAGAAAGCTGACGGTATGGAGAAACAGTCTCTGGTTATGAGCTTTAAAAAACAACTTGAGGAGCTGCGCAAGGGTCTTAGATCAGAAATGGAAACGACTAATCGGGCCAAAGAAACAATAAATTACTTTGCGGCGAGAGATCCTGGCTTGCTTAAAAAAACTGGGCTCCTTGAGACTCTTTCCGACATTAAAGACACTCTGATCGAAGTTGATGGAAAGCAACAAAATTTACGCTGGGTCGAGACTCAAGTTGATGAGCTTGATATTAATATCGCACTCCAAAGGTTTGATGCAGCTGTTCTCCAGGTTGAACAACTTACTACCTTGGCAAAAGGCCTAAAAAGCAATACAATTGTTCAAGAGTTTATTAGTTATAAAGCTAGCGAAAGAGCTACTAAGCTAGCAAGTCTTATTACGAGTGAACTCCTCGAAACACATAATGAGCCAAAAAAGACAAAGTGTAACATTGGCTGGTTGGCTCGCCTTGGATTTGAGGATCGCGCCAGAGAAGTATATCTTGAGGCTCGTGGCAACATTATCCATCAACGATCTAGGTACTATCTCATAAACATCTGATAGGGGCTTCAGCTGATTCTTCTAGGCAGTGTATCTTTGAAGGTAATCTCTTTCAGTATATCTGGGAAATATCATTTATCTATTTCACAATTATCCGTAATACTGTTTCCACTTATCAGGCATGCTTTCCATCGCCTCTCATGAGTGCATGTGTTAAGTGGGCAAAGGAACAAGTTGAAAGTTTTAACCTGATGCTAGAGAGACAGTTGAGTAATACTGAGCGGAACGGACCTGTATGGACTGAATGTATGGGACAAGCAAAGCAACATGCTAATATGTTATCTGAAGTCGGATTAGATATAAAAGGACTAATCTCACGAAAAACTGATCATAGTTCTGGGATATCTGAATTCTTCCTAGCATCATAGCCTCTTATCTTAGATTAAACACTTTAACAGAGATATTTATAAATAAACCTCAAACACGTGCAAGGTTTACAGTGTGACTTTAAGTTGGCACGAGCGCGAACCAGGTGTTCTGTAACCATAAGCGAGGTCTAACTCTAGCAGTAAACGTTGTGCATTGCGGCTGGATACTGCACTGATGATGACCTGTCCTGTGAACTTGACGCAGATTTACAAGCAATTAATATTGTGATAACTTCACCAGGCTAAATTTGCGGTTTATTTCTGTATAATTAAAGCTAAATACTCCTGTATCCAGACGTCGCCTTCATCCTCGCCTTCCCCGCTTAAACATCACTTTTAATTCCAATCGACCTCAAAGATATAATGGACACTAAAATGGAGGACGTTGGAAAAACCCCAGAGCCTATGAGGTTTCAAACGACGACAGAACCAGCATCAATACCAACCCTTGATGGGTGGATTGAGAACCTGATGGCATGCAAACAACTTCCCGAAGTCGATGTACTCAGGCTATGTGAGAAGGTCCGTAGGTGTAAAGGATTGGAGAAACTCCACCTTGGAAATTTCACTTAAGTTATACTGATCTTTTTGTTCCAGGCACGGGAAGTATTACACAGCGAGTCAAATGTTCAGCCTGTAGTGAGTACGCCTCTAACACATTTTGATATTGTATAGTTGACGCGCGAAAGAAATGTCCTGTCACTGTATGTGGTGATATTCATGGGCAGTTTCATGACTTGATGGAGCTATTTAGGATAGGTGGCCCAAATCCTGATACAAATTACTTGTTCATGGGTAAGCCTATCCAATGTTATTGAGGAAATACTAACTTGAGTCTCAGGGGACTATGTCGACCGAGGCTACTATTCCGTAGAGACTGTCACACTTCTCGTGGCCCTTAAAATAAGGTATCCTCAACGAATTACTATACTTCGCGGAAATCATGAATCTCGCCAGATTACGCAGGTCTATGGTTTTTATGACGAATGTCTACGGAAATATGGGAACGCAAACGTGTGGAAATACTTCACAAACCTATTCGATTTCCTGCCTCTGACTGCTCTTATTGAAAATCAAATATTTTGCCTTCATGGTGGACTCTCCCCTAGTATTGATACTCTGGACAATATCAAAGCTCTCGATCGAATTCAAGAAGTCCCTCACGAGGGGCCCATGTGCGACTTGTTATGGTCTGATCCTGACGATAGGTGCGGGTGGGGAATCTCTCCCAGAGGCGCTGGTTATACTTTTGGGCAGGATATTTCAGAAGCGTTTAATCATAACAATGGTCTAACTCTCGTTGCGAGAGCTCATCAACTGGTTATGGAAGGTTATAATTGGTCTCAAGATCGCAACGTCGTTACAATATTTTCTGGTACACTCTTCGTTCTCGCGGGATGAAGTTTCCACTAACAGTTACAGCTCCCAACTACTGTTATAGGTGTGGTAACCAAGCTGCAATCATGGAGATAGATGAACATCTTAAGTATACATTGTACGTCATATGCACAACCAGCAAAATATTATACGAATTAACCTTCTGCAGTCTCCAATTTGACCCTTGTCCCAGAGCTGGCGAGCCGATGGTAACTCGACGTAAGTCGTCTATATACAAAAAATGTTTTATCCTTAACAGTAATCAGGGACACCGGACTATTTTCTTTAGGTTAACTTGCGGTACTATAATTTCCGAAGTCAATTCTAAAGTAAGTTGTATTGTCATTCTCTCGACGCAATAAGTTCTACGATTCCACCTCATACAGAGATAATTTTTCTGGAAACAATCCCAAGCTTAGATAGTTCACAGAACCTATCAACTAGACGTTGCTTCGAAGTCGAAACCGCTTGATGCGTATGAGGACTCTCGAGCAATCTTTAGTCTAGATTTAAACAGTATCCAAAGACTTACACGAAGTAAAAATTATATTGATTACCTATCTTTCTTTGTTATGAGTTTGGGATCATGTAGCTGTGCAGCTCAAATGACCCTTTTTTCTCATATCAATATCCCAACGGGATCATAGTACATTGTCGCAATGTCAAGTATTTGAATCATCTCATAACTTCGATTGATCAGGGATTTTGCATCATCATGAAACTAAAAGACATGACTTTGCAAAGGCGAAGAGTCCCAAAAAGACCACAGGCCTGTGCAGGTCAACTGAATTGCTGTCGTTATTCAATAACAGGGTTTGATCGGATCCTTGTGACCAACCTTCATATAACCCCTACGTAATGTCGGGTCCATAGCGAACAAATCAGAAACTATTCAAATCGCGCAGAACTTTCGAGGGTGGTAAGCTATTGAATTTCATGCATTAGTTGAATATTATTAAAGATCCCCACTATGTGCATGCCTTCTTTTCTAGTTCCGTTCGGAAATCCTCATATTTTCATGAAGTTGTTTCTAGCTTCTCTGAAATTCTTTAGTCAATATATTCACAAAGGGTTGAGGAATAAACATAAAGAAATCAATTATTTAATGCTTGTTCATTTTTTATGATTCTGATTTCATTGTACTGGTTTAGCCCCTTTTGGATCCTGCAGGTGTCCATGACATGTGATAATCTCATCAAGGGAAACTTTTCAGTGAAAATCTTCCCAACTCTTCTGTTATTTGCCTTTAGTTTTCTTACATATCCTTCAGAAATCATAGTTAAACCAAAGTGCCATACATTCAAGCTGTCAAACAGATTACCCTAAATTTAAATATGGTATCACGATGTTTGACTTGAGTAGTTTACAAACAAGTATACGGGGCTGATGCATCAAGGGCCATAACTTAGTCATGTAAATATTACAACTAGCGACTAGAAGGATGGCCATTTTCCTTCGCACAACTCTCTTATTGTATCATTCCTTCTATTGCCCATGATAATGTCATAGCTACATTGAGAACCGTGTATGGAACGGAGATTTGAGCAGTTCGCATGGTCAATCTAATAGTCAGTCTATATTTGGAATTAGTAAGATACTCAAGGTGTATGTAGTACCTAGATAGATTCCTCATAGTGGGGGACAATCAATTCAATCAACTATGAGAGATATCCACATTAGTATAACTCTGCCTGCCGGCAAAGACAAATTCTTCACCTTCCAGGGGTGCCGGTGTAATCGCTCAGTATGCTCTGCACATCTGGGATAGCCAAGAAGAATCGCATCCGAATCGAAGTCGAAAGCAAACACATGTCTATCTCCATTTGACGACTTCTCAACCATGCAGCACTCACCATCATCTTCTGAGTCCTCAACCCCTATCTAACCATATATCAACTCGCCTCGCCGACCGATAAAGGCATCACCCCAATTGCAAACAGGAGCTTGCCACATTCATCACCGGCCATCACTCACTACATATTTACGACGCTATTTATACCCGCAAGGAGGAAATTAAGTCATAATATACAAAGTTGGGGTCTTGGTTTATGGGGGACTGCTGCTCTAATGAGGTTATACATCTTGAGGAAGGACAGGCTGCTGAGATGTGGATCGAAAGGAGGAGGAGGTCTCTGAAGACCGCGTTGGGACTGTCATTTTCGAGGGGGTTTCAACTTTGGATTTGTTTTTTTTTTTTTTTTTGCATCAGATTTTGATTGCGTATGCAGCTATCTAGCTATGACACAATATCAAAGAAAAGTACAGAAAAGGTGACTCAATTTACAAGAGAAGCACTCATGCCTCAGATTTCATTTGCAAGTACCACTGCGAAGTTATGGTGGCTTTTTCTTCACCCCAAGTCAACCCTCATCCGTGAATACCCACCCAGGGGAACGTCTCAAAAACCCTGAGTTATCCAGACATGCCTCCGTCATCCATCAACTTTTCTCCGCGCGAAATATGATCTAAGATATCTCCTTCCCAAGTGGAGTAGGTGCCCAGGCTACTCAAACCATACCAGAGAACATTACCAGGAGGCGGACCGCAACACCTTCCATCATTTGCTTGTGTTTATAGTGTTAGCTGCACTCTTGCAAGCGAAGTCTTGGCGCGCACAAAGCTGATTTCGTAAAACTCTTGCCAAAATTCGAAATTTCAAGCCCGTCGAGAATGTATCCTTCCGTTGCATCGTCTTGTCAACTTGTCCTGAACCCTCTCACGTCCATCCCAAAGAGCTATCTCCCAGATTTGTGCTCCACGCTTTGCTTCCTCCGTCGGGTAAAAATATCGGCGTGGGCGTGTATTTGGCGGTCAACTGAGGCCAGAGAAAGTCGACGAGAGGTATGGTCATTGGGATGAGGATGTACTATGTCGTACTTGTAGACTTGATGAAGCTTAGTTGAGAATCGGACTCTTTGGGAGTGAAAGATTGACATGGTGGAGTGATTTGAATTTTTGCCTCGTGGGCCAACTTCTTCGATATTGCGAAATTTGACTGAGCTTGGCTCTGGGAGAATATTTCACTCCCAGGTTCGTAGGGGACACCACGTTGAGGTGCTCAGCCTTGCCCTTCTCTGGATCTGTTTGTGGGCGCCAAGACTAAGATTTCGGCTAATTAGCCATGAGGGCTTCTTTTGTCGATGAGTCAACGGCACTCCCCAGCGCCCTGGACAGCTTAAAAAAAGTTGAGCTAAGCTACTATACAGCAATCACGCTCTGCCAAGACTTTTCTGACATTTCAGCACGACCTTCGAGAAGGAGTTGGAAGGAGGCTAGAAAGGCAGAGGGTGAATTTCCCGAGGTACCCACAAGTCTGCAGCGCCCAGCTGGCCGGCCTCTTCGAACGCTTCAGAAGGGGCAATATGTCTATGGATTTAGTCCTAATATTGTTATTAGAAGAGCCCCGCACCCAGAGGTTTTTGCGATTTTTCCCGGCTGCTATACACCCGCAAATGGCCATCGTTTCGTTGGCTGGAGAGGGGAGACGATGAAGGGCTAAGGGCTGCTCGAAGTGTATGATCGAATGAGGACTTGTGAGGAGTGGTACTGTTTGAGGGAAGCTATATGGGAGGTATAGGAGGTGTATACTACTGGCATAGGTACTCATGGCCTGTAGGCAGAGAGGATCTGCATGTCCTACATAGTCATAGACTCAGACAGGACAATAAAATGAATTAATAATAATAACAACTCTGCCGAACACAAGCCAACCATATTCTCTGTATCGACCCCAATAATCGCTCACCCACTCTTTCCTTTTTTTTGCTTCAGATTTTAATCGTATATACAGCTATATAGCTATGTCACAATATCAGAGAAGTGTATAATAGATATCTCAATTTACAAGAACACTCATGCCTCGGATTTCATTTGCAAGTACCACTGCACAGTTATGATGGCTTTTTCTCCACCCCAAGTCAACCCTCATCCGTGAATACCCACCCAGATAACGTCTCAAAAACCCCGAGTTATTCACAAATGCCTCAATCATCCTTTTACTTTTCTCTGCGCGAAATGTGATCTGAGGTGTCTCCTTCCCAAGTGGGGTAGGTGCACAGGCTACTCAGAATATATTAGAAAACCACCGGAGACGGACCACAACACCTCCCATCTTTGGTGTTTTTTTTTTTTAAATAATTTAATGTGTATTCAGCTATCTAGCTTTGACACATGACCGGTGCTATGTATACATGATGGATGACTCTTTTGGAGTTAGAGACACTCATATTCCAGATTTCATTCGCAAATACTACTATGAGGTATGCTTGCTTACAAAAACAGTCAACCGACCTCCGTAAGTACCCACCAAAGGCAATTTCAAAACCTTTGATTATCCAAGCATGCCTTCGTCGTCCATGCATACCAGTGCCGCGAGAAATGTGGTTGTGTTTTGCTGGATTTGAACTAGCGATCTACTGTCTCAAGTGGGATATGTGTCCAAGCTATCCAGACTCTACTTAGCAGACCGGCCAAGACGATATACCACCGCACCATCCAACCATGGCGATGTTTATAGTGTCGCCTGCACTCTCGCAACCGAAGTCTTGGCGCACAAAAAACTTAATCCGAAGAACTCCTTGCCAAAAATTCGGAAATTCACGCTTTCCAAGGTAATATCTTTCCTTTGCATCATCTTCTGAACTTGTCATGATCCCTCTCACGTCCGTCCCAAAGAACTGTCTCCCAGATTTGTGTTTTTCTCTTAGCAGTATTCATCCCTCCTATCATTTGGAATTGCTCAATCAAACTATGGTTTAAGATCTAATGTGTGATTTTTATGTGCAAGCAGGAATATTTTCCGTGGCTTTGAAGGACCGATCCTTGGCTTGTCTCCAAATATGTCCGCTTTCAATTGACCTTCGAAGGCTGGACATAATTATGTGCTTAGGCTTCTGAGATTGATAGCTACAAGGATAATGTGGGCTGTAGACCATAGATAATCATCGTCTGCTAAAACAAGAGTCGAGCCCTAAAAATTATCGTAGCAATGTCGTACATGGGGTTGTTAGGATGATTGAGATTCCATCAAACTACGTCGTGTAATGAATCGTAGTGCATAGATGAGGACTGTTTCGGGTTGGAATACTCTATTGGATGTTTGAATGTCAGTCTCAAGCGGAATCAAAATGTTTCCAGAATGATATAGTTCTGATACACTAAAGTAATATGTTCTTGGACTTCTTCATCACACGTAGATATTCTCAGGAGACATATGTTTACAAATGGGGGATTTCGTTAGACCAGGAAGGTTGACATGTCAATAACTTACTTTTGCTTTAAATTTTTCACTTGAACCACAATGTCCATTATGTAATTATTAGTTTTTTTAATTTTCCGTTCTCGGCCTATGAATATATGGGACATGTAGGTACTCCGTAACTGCAGGCCATGGATACCTGTCTGTAAGTGATTCCCCTACTATCGCTGTCATCTAGCTATCCTTCAACAGTAGTGCCCCTTACATGTTACGGTATTAACCGGGTACAAGCTGGCTCAGCGGAGAGCAAGACTGAACACCTGTAAGTGGTGTACTCAACGAACCTGGGAGTGAAATATTCTCCCAGAGCCAAGTTCAGTCAAATTTCGCAATACCGAACAAGTTGGCCCACGAGACAATGATTCGAATTACCCCACCACGTCAAATTTTAGCTCCCAAAGAGATCGAATCCTACCTAAGCCTCATCAAGTCTACAAGTACGACCTAGTACATCCTCATTCCAATGATCACACTTCTCATCGACTTTCTCTGGCCTCAGCCGGTCACCAAATACACGCCCACGCCTATATTTATACCAGCAGGAGGCAAAGCGTGGCGCACAAATCTTAGAGATAGTTCTCTGGGATGGACGTGAGAGGTGTTAGGACAAGCTTACAAGGTGTTCCACAGGGAGGATATAACTTCGAAGGGCATGAATTTTCGAATTTTGGCAAGAACTTATATGAATCAAGATTTATGCGCGTCAAGTATTGATTGCCAGAGTATGGCTGACACTGTAAAAACAAGCCAACAATGGAAGGTGCCGTGATACGCCTCCTGGTGGTGTTCTCCTGTATGGTCTGAGTAGCCTGGACACCTACTTCACTTGGGAAGGAGACACCTCAGATCACATTTCGCGCAGAGAAAAGTAAAAGGATGATTGAGGCATTTGTGAATAACTCGGGGTTTTTGAGACGTTATCTGGGTGGGTATTCACGGATGAGGGTTGACTTGAGGTGGAGAAAAAGCCACCATAACTGTGTAGTGGTACTTGCAAATGAAATCCGAGGCATGAGTGCCCTTCTTTTATATCGAATCATATTTCATATACATTTTCTCAGATATTGTGTCATAGCTTTATAGCTGCATATGCAATTAAGACCTGATGCGAAAAATTTGACTTCGATTTGAAGTAAGTGGCGAGTAGAGCTGTCCAAATAACCTTCTAATCCAACAATGACAAGGCTGAGGGCTTACCTGTGGGGAGTTATCTAGAAAGGCCAAGGCTGAAACTGTATCAACAGCACCTGCAAGGCACGGGTACAATGTGTCTGCGGCCCTGTGGACCATAACAGATAACCATTCTTCAATTTACACTTACAAATTTCATCGTGAGAGGTCCTTTTCGTTCATATCTAAGGGTTGCCTCTCTCTCATCTGAGTTTAAAATAATTAACACCGCATGTCGCGATCATGGTGTCTGCAATTCAGGAACAGCGTGACAGTAAGCATATCAGTTAATCGGGCCATATTTCACTCTGATCATATTCTAGTTATCATAGACACGATAAAGTCCATAACAAGTGGAGATGTATTACAAGTATCAAGAATATTATTAGATAATCTAATATATTTACAGTGGAAGGTGCTGGTCATCGATGCATCAGTAAGGAGTATCCTAGATAATGTTGTCAAGGAAGATGATATTCTCAACGAGAATATTGCTAGTACGTACTCACTTCAATGAAATGTATGCACGTTAAGAAATGTCAAAGATATCGAAAGGATTGAGGAGCGAAGGGAAATGAATCCAGATATGGATGCCATTTATCTACTTTCCCCTCAACCGCACATAGTCGATTGCGTTATGGCAGACTTTGAACGTCATAGGTATAGAAGGTCTTTTCTAGTTTGGACAGCTCTTCTCGATCCCCAAATGCGTCAGCGTATCGACAACTCTAGACAGGCACAAGATCAAATAGCTGGATTTGAGACACTCTTCATAGGTTATTTTCCTCAGGAATCCCACCTAGTAACCTTTCGAGATCCATGGAGTTTTCCCATATTATATCATCCTGTATGCAATAATTTGGTGCGAGATCATATGCAAAGTCTCTCTCAAAAGGTATACCCTAGAAGCTGATTAACCCTAGAAATAAGCCTAAAACTCTAATAGATAACAAGCATTTGTATTTCTCTAGGAGAATATCCAAAAGTACGATACTATAAACCTCGAAACGCCACACACGAGGCGCATGTTTTGTGCTCTCACCTTGCAAACTTTGTTCAAGATGAGCTTGATGCATACGCAAAATGGAACCAAAGCTTTCCTCCTCAGAGTTCACGACCTACTGGTATCTTGGTTATCACAGATCGCTCCATAGATTTACATGCCCCACTTATTCACGAATTTACTTATCAAGCCATGGCCCATGATTTACTTCCAATGATTGAGAGAGATAAAATTTATTATAGGACAATTGTTAACAAGGGTGATGCTGATGAGGAAGATAAAGAAATGGAAATTGGCGAAAAAGATAAAATCTGGGTTGAAAATAGACATCGGCACATGAAAGATACTATCCAAAAATTAATGAATGATTTCCAAAAATTTATCGATGATAACGCTCATTTTACAAATCCTGAAGAAGACGGTACGAGTATAAATGCAATAAAAGATATGCTGGCTGGCCTTCCACAATTTCAGGAACTCAAAGAAGCTTACTCACTGCATTTAAGTATGGCTCAAGAATGTATGAATGTGTTTGAACGTCATAAACTTCCCGATATTGCTTCCGTTGAACAGTCACTTGCGACTGGACTCGACGAAGACCAACGAAAACCAAAAAACATCGCAGATGAAATGGTACGGCTTTTAGATGATGAAGATATTAATCCAAGTGATCGACTGAGACTTATCGTCCTATATATTATCTATAGAGACGGTGTGATTCCTGAGGATATCCAACGATTACTAGCTCACGCAGGTCTACCTCCTAGGGATGGAGAAATAATTACCAATCTTGATTTATTAGGAGCTCATACAATCAAAGCTCTCAAAGATACCAGAGCAGCGCCTCCGCCGCTGTTCCAACGCAAGACAACTTCGGTGGCCGAAAATGAAGAATATTCCTTGTCTCGTTTTGAGCCTATGTTGAAGCTAATGCTCGATGAATTAGTCAAGGGAACGCTAGATCAAACGCTCTTCCCATACGTCAAAGCACCGGTCGATCAGTTCGAAGAGAAAGCCCTTCAATCACAATCGTCCCTTAGGAGCGCGAAACCGACCTGGGCTCGAAATAGACAGTCAACGGCAGAAAATAGACAAAGAATCATCGTTTTTATGGCAGGTGGTGCTACCTATTCAGAATCACGGGCATGTTACGAAGTCTCTAAGGCTCACGAAAGAGAAGTTATCCTTACGACCAGTCACATGCTTACTCCTTCCTTATTTTTAAGGCAAGTAGGCGATTTAGGAGTAGACCGACGAACCCTAGATTTACCTATAGATAGACCCAAAGCTAAAGCACCAGCATTTCTATTTCAACGAAATGATCCACGACCACTGCCACAAAAGTCAACTTCTCCAGCTAGTTTCCATAGTGCACAAGGGCTAGGTCATAATGGACGGGATTTATCTAGGAATCCTGGAATCAGCACCTCTCCACAAAAATTTATAGATGTTAGTGCAAAGCCTCAGATACATCAACACGTACCAATGCCTCCTACTACTAGTCTCGCCATTATGAACCTATCCTCAGCCGATAATAACTCTATGAGTAGCCCAGGGGATGGAGTCCCGAATGTTAAGACGAAGCTTGACAAGAAGAGTAAACAGAAAGAAGGCGAGAAAGAGAAGAAAAAGAGAGGGTTTTTTGGTAGCAAGAAATGAAGCATTCTGCATTAGATTGGAGACTGAGACTTCTTAAAAATCTTTGAACTTGCTTCAAGTACGGTATCAATTCTGGAAGATCAAGATGATTTGATGATACTATGTAGTGATGAATTCTCTGGGCTAGTTGTGACAAAATGATCGGATCTACCCGTTAAAATACAGTGTGCCTTTAGATGAACTCGTCAGAGACAGGGATCAGGCAAATTAATTATATATTGAAATGGTGGTGCACATGAAGGAAGATAATGTAATTATGGAGCTTATGTAAATAATATGAGGGGTGGTTGGGAGAGTACATGGCCCCTCGGTCATCAAATTCAAGGTCATATATCCGGGAATATCGCTACATATTCACTATCATTTCTACTTTGTCTTTCACTGTCTCCTGAAGGCACCTTGAGGTAGAGGACCCCGCGAATCAAACGGGGTTGCTCCAAAATTCATTGCTTCGGGTCCCTGATATCCGCCTAAACCTGGTGGTAAAAGCCCTGGCGGTGGTCCGTTGAAAAATCCAGGAGGAGGCTGCATTTGAACCGTGCGTGCAGGTATATTTACGATATCTGGTGGAGGATAGCTTCCAATAGGAAATCCGGGAGGATACATCTGCTGAGGCATGGGAATAGAACGATTTAGGGAATTTGATAGGCCTGGTGGAGGTGCAATGCTTTGGGCCATTCTGTGCTGCGAAGATGGTAATTGTGTTTGCTGTTCCCAGACCATTTCTAGGCCTGGGCGCTGAATCATCTGGCCGGGTTGAGGATTACCGGGTTGACGATCGAGGGGAGGCAGAGAACTTCGATGAAAGTTAGAATCCTCAAAGAAACCAGGAGGTACATTTGATCGTGCCTGACGTTCAGGTGCACTCCGATCACGCTGTGCTGATCCATTCCTCTGCATATCCGGCTCGCAGTCCACAGCGCGAGGTAACTGTTGTCGATTTTCTGGCTTATGAGACATTCGATGAAGGACTTGATCAGATCGCTGGGGATTCGGTGCATTCTTTACATTTTGCATCAATCCCATAAGAAATTCGGCGTTAGTATTTCGAGGTGGTTGTTGATCCATTCTTGAGGATTGATTCAGTGCATTCTGTCGCTGACCGACTAATTCTTGCAACATTTGCTCTGGTCTCATCATTGGTTGATTTGGGGCTAATTGGCGTTGGCTTAATAGATCTGAGCAAGGCTGGGGAGGGTTTCGTATCCCATGACGACAATCATCCTGTCGTTCACTGTGGAATTGTTGAAAATATTCAGGCGGGTGAACATTGTTACTGACTGCTCTATCGGAAACTAGGGGATTATTCTTGAGTGGCATGTTGGTGGTTGTGTTTGAGCTAGATGCTTGAATAGTTTGTCGCTGGAGTTTCTGGAGTAACTGTTGAAAGGCTTCTTTCTCAGCATTAGACTGCGCATTAGTACCAGAACTAACCTCCATTTTGCCTGGAGACTGCGTCTGTGTAGTCGATAGTGATTCGTTCATAGTTTTAGAGGGATCTTCTTGAGCTGCAAAGAAAGAGGTGAACCTTGAGGCTTTACCTGTTGTCTTCGATCTCGCGACACCCTCACTACCCGCCTCTATTAAAGTCTCATGCGAATGATCCTCTTTGGGCGTAAATAGACTCAGGAATTTATCAGGCCCTGAATCAAAGTCAAGTGGAGCTTCAATCTTAGGCTTGTCTGTCTCGTGTAGAGAGGGGCCAGCACTCATCTTTAAGTCATCTATTGGAGTCTTCCCAGATTTATTTTTTCCTTGCATCTGTTCTTTCCATTTCTCGAAATCTGCTAGTGTATGAATCTGACCTTTTTCCTCGGCAGGCTCTTCCATCCATTCAGGGTCATGGTCGTGATGCTGGGATTTGCCTCTGTCCCATCGACGATCAGGTCGGTCTGTACCTTCTACACTTTTCTCTCCATTTTTCTCGGCTTTATCTACTCTTTCATCCTTTTCTCTGCCTCTCCACCCACGGCTTCGGTCCGCAATTTTTTCATTAACATTCTGACGGTCTTTTACTATTTCATGGGTGTCTCGCTCCTTAAACCATGATGTTTCATTTCTTCCATGTGTTGTTGGAGTGTTTCGATGATTTCGCTCTTGATGATCGCTGGTTTTATCCCTCGAGAAGAAATCAAAACCTCGTGGCCTTTCTTTACGGTCGTGATCTTCTCTATCTTTGTGAAATTTCTCCTCCCGATTCTTGTCACCCCCCATGCGACCACTAAATCTATCAGAAGCGTCTACACCAATACTTCTACGAGATTGAGGTGAGCCCCATTCTTCGGAGTCAAGATCAACTTCGTTTCGCCGAGAACGTAGTACTTTGCTCCTACTGTCGTGAATTCGATCATTTTCGCCAATTGCTATTCTAGCTCTCATACCAAATCCAGTCTCTCGGTTTCCTGTTCGATCCGGGGAGTCAAGTGTTTTGCTTGAGGTGCGAATAGAAGTTGAGGACATAAAAGAGGTTTTTGGTGGACCGAGGATAATATCATCGGGATCTTAGTAGCATAATAGTTAGATGTGCTAGTTTTATGATTTGCAAGGGAACTATACTGGCATTGTTACGAGGTACGTTACGGTCTGAGGCTGTCCTGCGCGTTGCTAAAACTAGAGATGTGTTAGTAAAGATCTTAACATGGTGATGAGAAGGTTTGGTCGATTTACGAGTAGATTCAGATGTCGATCTAACATAGAGTCAGTATAAAGACACAAGTTTGATTCGATCTGGTGATCTACCCCATCCACTGCTCAATCGGGGGAAGGCCAGGAGGCTTGATAACCAGAGGCGATTCACGCAAATGCTTCAATAATTCGAGAGGGTATATCATTGACATTGTAAATATCTTTGCTTCTTCTATATTTAATTGAAAAGTTTATAACGCGGGTGTTAGGCGTCCCGCTGAGGGTATCCTTTGGGTTTGATTTGAGATTTTTGGCGCGTTTAATGGGGTTATTTAGTGACTGCAGTGAAGGGTGAATCGGTGAGGTTTTGAGAAATCTGAGGGTTTTCGTGCAAGAAGAAGCGTGTATTTCGTGTATTCAAAAGCATTCGGAAGCTGATGCTAACAATAGACCGTTACATTGGGGTATGGATGGATTGTCTATATATCATGTGATATTTTTTCATAAAGTCATGTGACTCGATCGAACTACCATCGCCTGAATGCGCAAAGCCATGATAATATTTTCATTTAATTTACCTACCGTTTTTTTCATCAATCTAGCACTGATGCATGAATAGTGCTATGTACAAATTTTGAGTGACTCTTTTAACGTTAGAGTTAATCATATTCTGGAAGCCATTAGGGCTTGATCCTCAATATCTATAAGAACGAATATTGGCATATTCCAATATTAAAATTTCTCAAATATAATAAGAATCTTTACTTAAATTTACAAAGTCCTCCATAGTCTTAGACTCAGTAGGGAATATAATAAAAATCTAATCTGGATGTCATTCGCAAATACCACTTTGAGAGATAGTTGCTTACATAAACAGTCGACCCTTCTCTTTGATTACCAACAATGGGACGATTCTAAACCTTTGATTATCGAAGCACGCCTCCGCTACCAGTATATATCAGGTCCACGAGAAATGTGGCTGTGTTTTGCTTGATTCAAACCAGCGATCTCCTGTCTCAAGTGGAATATGTGCACAAGCTATCCAGAATCGAGTCGGGGACCGGCCCCGATGATGCACCAACGCACTATCCGACAATGGCGTTATTTATGAAACATTGTTACCAAAGGTTAGAAGGAGCTGCATCTGTTACAAAGGTAATTAAGCAGAGGACGAAGTATCTACATATCTCAGCGGTGCCTCTCATCAACATATGTGTGAATTTTTTTCTCAGATCCGAGCCAAGTCAAAATTTGATCTCAATCCCCATTACAACAAAGACTAGCATATTTTAATTTTCAGTTTATTAAATATAACCAGAGTCTTTGGTTTGATTCTTAAAGTCCTCTACATTCTTAGACTCAGTAGGGGCTATTATACAAATCTTATCTAATGTAAGACCAATTTCGCAAAACCGAAGCAGTCGAGTCACCAGGCAATGATTCAAGTCTCCCTGTCAGAATAAATTTTTACCCTCAGCACCATCCATTCCCACCAATACCTTTTGAAATCTACAAGGTCTGGTACAGGTTGGATGGTGCTATGGTACACCGTCCGGGCCGCCCTCTAAAGTAGATTCTGGGTGGCTTGAACATCTGCCCTATTTGGGATGGTAGAAAGCTGGTTAGAATCCAGTAAGGTCCACAATTTATCGCAGTGATATCGTATTTATAGGGTGACAAAAGAATACGCGGACAACCATGGGTGTTTAACGCTGTTCCCTGTGGTGGGTATGCATGGAAAAAGTCATACGCAGCAAGGTTTAACCTCAAGTGGTACATGCAGATGAATTCTGAGCGTGAGTGTTCCAAACGTCAAATGAGTTATTCTACAGAAAATACATAGCTTCCGAAAACACCTGCATGGGCTTTAAGGCGTAAATCAGTATAACTGAATTATTGATTTAAAATTGAATTCATTTAACCCGATCTGGCGCTCTATGGGCTCATGCAGGCGGTTATGGACATATCTGTATATTTACATGAGGGGGAAACCTTGCGATAAAACCACCCTTCCCTATTAACTTTTATATCTATAGTCCTTTGTTACCTAAATGAAGTGCAATTAGGCATCAGTTCGAGACGTCTCTAGCTAAAGCTTACCTGCGCTCCCTTCCCGAAAAAGAGGCGACTGGTCTTAAGTTCGATCCCGATGATGCAAAAAGTTGTGGTGGGGCTTGGGCTAAGGTCTATTTGCGTGGGCGTCCTAGCTCTCTCTTGACGATTTCTAACTTTTAGTGGGACACAACTGTGCACCCTTGGTATCTGTTTGCTTTACCGCTGTAGTTGATGTAGTTGCCTCTGGTGAGATCTCCTCTTTTCTTAATTCTACCGGTCTCTCCGTTAGTCCAAACCTGGCCTATTGAATATTGGTCTTA